TGATTGTGTTAAAGATCATTTTACAACATTAGGTATGTCGAATGATATATGATGTCTAATGTTGCAATTTCCAGTATCAAATAAGCTGACGAGTGGAGCTGATTCCTTATTTTGACAAGCTTCATACCATTAATAATACGACCTTGTGATAATGACTGACGATATGTAATGGTGGTGATGACGATGACAACAACAATAACAACCTACAAAAAAGATAACACAGGCCTTCCTTCCTTTATGATCGGGTTTAATTTCTCAAAAATCAACCGTAGGCTTTTCGATTGCAGATGAGTGGGATAGGTTGCCTGCTTTTGCACATAAATCCAACAGTAAAGGCTAATCTTGGAAATGCATCTCAAGAGCACCATCTACCAAAACCATTTAAGCAAAAGATCGAAAAACAACCAAACAGAATTTTAATAAATAAATAAAAAGTGGACAAAAACAAAAATAATGAAATAAGTGAAAATAACTTTCCTCCAGTGGCATGGTTAGGTTAGGGAACACTTCATTAGTAAGATGCATTCAAATGTAGACATCGGGATGCCTTTAATATTGGTTATAACAGTAGTGGTACTAATGACTCTAACAGTAATGGCAATTACCAGTCGCTGGCGTCGTCCTTACCCTCACGCTCAGTATCTCCCCCCTTCTATTTTTCTTTATTTTTCATTACTCCCACAGCCTCCGTTTCCATACCATAATCAAAGAAGAAATCAGTAAAAGAGAACCTTGGACGATGTGATATGGCAACACAGTTCTCCATTTTCACCTCAACTATTTTCCAATAAAGCATTCTTTCCCGTTACCTGAGTGCCATATCGGTGCTAATTAGTTGTTTGGTAATTAATACTCCCTTGAGGGTGGCAAAGGAGCCTGTGATTAAACAAGAGGAAATAAGTAATGTGATAGGGTAATGACAATGGCCTGGAATCGATGAATGTGGATGTTCTTCATTAGCAGAATAAGGATAGAAGTGGTAATGTAGTTTGTTGTATATTTTTTATTATCATTGTTACCGTTGTTGCTGCTATTTTCGTTAATAGTTTATCGATATTATTACTAACATTATTACTAACAGTAGTACTAGTAATAATTGTAGGGCTAGTCATAGTAGAAATGTCATTATTGTCTGCTGATATTATCCTCGTTATTATTGTCATTGTTCATACAACTGTAATAGAACATATTGTTCATGGCCGTGATTGATTATTATAAAATGGTGGCGGCAGTGGTGGCGGCATTAGTTCGGTATACAATCCCAACACATTGTGTTAATTGAAGAGCAAATGTGCATGTGAACCTATGTGAAAAAAATCTGCGAAGAAGGGTGCGAAGTCCACTATGTGTTTTAAGATACACCATAATGTAGTACTTGTAATGGCGACATTGATAATATCAATAATAACATTAGAAATAATGATAATGCACACAGTGATAGCACTGAGTACTAGAGAAACAACAGCAGTAGATATATCAAAAATGTTAATAATAATGCTAATGACAATATCGTAAGCTTACGTTATTAACAACTAAATAGTGATGGCAGTACCATCAGTAACGAAAAATAAGCAGTTACACCATTACTTTAAATGATATTGAAAACTGGCAGTGACCTTAATTAACTTTAAACTACAAAATAACAAAAAATCAATTAAACTTTTCCCAAACAAAAATACAGAGGAAAATCTAAATGAAACTGAAAATTAAAAGTAAATTCGCTGTTGAAAATAAAATTTATGTTTTAAATGATGAGAGCATATTTAAATATTTAACCGGGAAATGGAAATGTTCCATGACTCTAAATTGGAGGGAAAATGTTTATACTACGCAAGATATTGATGAAGAGATCTGAGAGGAAATTCAGAGGGAAATTCAATTTGGAAATCAGACTTAAAGCCAATTTTTATGCAAAGTTAGAATAGAAAAATTCAAGTGGAATTCTCAGAAGGACCTTCTCGTCCTGGCCTCCGTCCTGCCCTCCAGGCCCTTCCTATCAAACCCTCCAGGCCTCCTTCCCTTTCCCTCTCCTCCCTTCCTTCCCTCCCTCTCTCCCTTCCTTTTCTCTTTCTTCCTTACCTCCACCCACCTTTTCCTCTATTCCTTCCTTCCCTCTCTCTCTTTCCCTCCCTCCCTTCCTCCTCTCCCTCTCTCTCTTTCCCTCCCACCCTTCCTCCTCTCCCTCTCTTTCCCTCCCACCCTTCCTCCTCTCCCTCTCTCTCTTTCCCTCCCTCCCTTCCTCCTCTCCCTCTCTCCCTTCCTTTTTCCTCTCACCTCCTTACCTCCCTCCCCCTTTCCTTTATTTCCTCCTCCCCTCTCTCCCTTTTCCTTCCTCCCTTCCTTCCCTCCCTCTCTCCTCCTCCTCTTCTCACCTTCCGGCCACGAAGTTGTATCCCTGGCAGCAGTGCCTCCGGAAGCAGTCCACCCACTTGTCCTTGACCTGGCACTTGTAGCGGGTCGTAATAACGTTGGCGCTTGGGCACTCCAGAGTATCTGACCT